CCCCAAAACCCCAAAACCCCAAAACCCCATCAAAATTTCGAAATAAATTTGAAATGTAAAAAATAAAAAATATTTCTTAATTGTTCGAATTTTATAGAGAGTTATATTTATAATTACAGGCAAATAGAAGTTCTAAGATAAAGATAATTAGCTTTTTAAGGTACTATAATAGTTATTTATAATCAGTCTCGATCTAAGTGAATTGAAATCATTTGCTGTGAGAAATTAAGATGCATAATAGGGATAATATATTTCATGTAAAAAAGTATGTTAAGAGTGAAAGAGCAAAACTAATTACTCCTACCTTCAAATTCTTTCCATCTTGATATTTGATTTCGAACACTGTTGGTGTACCATTGACAAAAGGATTTGAACCAATCAATGCGATGCCTTCTCCCTCGGCAATTGTGAACTTAGTAGTGGTGGCTAGTTTGTAACTATTCATGTCGAAATCTCCTGAATTATTGAAGTAAATTGTTTTGTTCATTTATTTGTAAGTAATGTTTGCTTTGTTCGCAGTTTAAATGGTAATGAACCCTGGGATTCCGTCGCCTATTTGGTTGAATATTTAAACTGGACAGATCTTATTCTTAGCCAGCGTCACTTAAATGGTCCTGGCATTTGATAGCCCGAAGTAATCCTTGGTGATGTAGTACTTGTCCTTGCACTAAGTGTCATCAGTAAAGATGTTAGTGCCGTTAACATTATGGCAAGTGCTAAACAAGTTCGTCTTAAAGGTGTTTTTATTGCAGTCTGTGTCTAAAGCTGAAGAACGACAACTGTACACTGTGGTGTTTGTTGAACACATAGGATATATAGAACCTAAGCAAGCTACACACTAACTAATATCGTTATACAACTATCTAGCTTGGTATAAATTGAAGAGTTATAGAAAGAGTGTCAAAGCCACTGGAATTTTCATTTTTATTTATTAGTATAAATTCAATTATTAAACTGTTATAATAAATTAACTATCAAATTCAATTATCACCTTTCATTCAAGAAATATTAAAGTTATTTTCAAAGTACTCTTCAACCAGCTCCATCATAAAGTTCTTATTTCCTTTATTGGGTAGGTTTTTGACTGTTAGGAATTCTTTCAACTCCGCATTGTTGCATGACTTAAGTTTACCTTCTCTGATTATTTCCATGAATTTCTAGTCAAGGGGGTCTAATTTTTATGCACTTTTCTGGGACTTTTTAGGCTGCTACTTTTTGGAAGGTGACTTACTATTATCTGCTCTTTGAGACTGGGATTAATTGTTTTCTTTTTTTACTGCTGATCTTCTATTACTAGGTTTCTTTGACTTGGATTCCTCTTCACTATCATCGACAATGAAATCATCTAAATCAGAGGCATCATCATCTGCCTCCTCTTCCGACTCATCCAGCTTCTTACGCTTATTCGACTTCTTAGCTATTTTCTAGGGAGGTTCCTTTCTCTTTTTTGATTAATTAACCTTAACTGCTGCCTAAGATGGGAGTTCTTTCTCATCACTATCTGATTCCTCTTTGACTTATTAAATTTTAGCTCCACCTCTGCCTCTACCTTTAACTGGCTAACTTTAAGCCTGCGATGCTTAACTATTAACATTTGAACCTCTTCCCCCTCTAGTAGAAGCGCCTGCACCTCTTCCACCACCTCTTGCTCCTCTAGCTCCACCTCTGCCTCTTCCTCTTGCAGCGCCTTGAGAGCATTAGGGATCCTCGTCCTCACCATCAAAGAACACATCCTTAAATCTGTCAATAACTGGATCGAATCTTTTCATTCCCTCGTAATCAGGCTGTAAAAGATCTTCTACTGGCTCAGGGTTTTACTCATTGAGAGCCAATGCCTAAAGTCCTGCATAAAATTATTGCAGTGAAGGGTTTTCAAAGTTTCTTGAGTTAAAATCTATGTACATGTTTTTAACCATTAACTTTGCAGCTTGCTTTTCTTCATTGGTAAGTTAGTCAAAAATACTTTTGTCCTCCGGATCCTCTTCATTATATCCAGCTGCTTCAAATATTGAATTGATGTCTCTAATATCGTCAGCATAAGGTAAGAATATTAGTTAAAATCCTGGAGGAGTTTGGAATCCATCATCTTCATCTACTCTCTCAGCCTATGGTATGAGTGCGCAAAATCTAACTACTGAGTTATCTCTAGGAATAAATCTCACAATAGCTATTTTATCCTCATCAATCATTTCAGTTATAAGAGCATCCATGACTTAGGATGAACCACTAATCCTCTTCTCATCAGGGTAGATGAAATAAGAGTGCTTTATATTGTGGAATACTTTAAGAGCTGACCTTGGCTTGAAGCCCATAAGTTTCATTCCCACATTATCAAAGTATTTAATTTACTTCACATCTTCCGGAGTGATATGTACTTTTTCACCACCTACTGGGAAATGCGAGCTAATTTGGTTTTTGTATAAAACTGTCCCTGTCTCTTGGCAGATATATCTAGTGGTGGATTTCAATTGTTTATTATTGGCTGCATTCACCTTGCTAGCACCTGGCTTTTTAGTAGGCATTACAGTCGTAAAGAAGCTAAGAGCAATCTGGGCTTTTGGAGTGAGGTTGAAAAGACATTTACCCTGCGTCCTCTTTCTAAATTCCTTCATTCTAATACGTTTCATCAGCTCACTGATTCTTGATTATGTTCCTTAAATTCCTAAAGTCTCTGAAAACTGCTCTTCCTCATCGAATTGAATGATGTTAGCGAAGAATTTCTTCACATCAAAAACTGGCTTTTAATGAGTTGGTTTAGGCATTGGGAATAACTCAATGTCAACTCCAAGAGAAGACAAATCTGATGCTCTTTGCTAAGCCATTTCGCGATCTCCTTGTGTGTCTGGATTATCTTCATTTGTGAATAAAAAGATTCTCTTGTTATAGCTTTGTTTCTCAACTTATTTAAATTCTTAATGGCAAATCCAAAGTGCTTCAAATAATGGAGTATGAGATTCTTTGGGAACAAAGCCATATGTTTTAGTAAAGTCAACCATCTTATTCTCAAGAGTTTTGATTGATAGGGCATCTGGACCATCCAGCTTTTGGAATACATAAATGTTATTAAAGTTCATTGAGTTGTTTGATAATTTGCACCCATAGAGTACGATGCCTATTTTATCATTATCACTTGTGATGATTTTGGTTTTCATAAAGCTAAGACAGGCACTGAGAATCTACTGAACATTAGACTCCTGTCCCTCTCCATTATGCGGGTTTCTCTCATGCATTGATCTGTGGCAATCTACTAAAAATACCACAGAATCCCTATTCTATTTCATTTCCTCCACCTCTTTTTCATTCATACCAAACATGAACATGTCGTTGCTTGGGGCTCCTCCTTCCTCCCCACCTTCTTAATTGTCTTCAAAAAGATCTTCAAAATCCATTAGTTTTCCGCTATAAGTTTAAATATAAATAATATACTGACCCACATTATTTTTTCTGTTTATCAAATCGTACTATTTTTAATAGTTTGGGGTTTTGGGGTTTTGGGGTTTTGGGGAGAT